AAGCATAAGCCATATCCGAAAGAAATGTGTTTTTTATTTTTTTTTTTTTTTTTTATACACGAATAACGTAGGAATGGCCGTTGGCCAAAATATTCGAGGATACACACCCCATGAGGAAAGAAAGAAAAAGAAAAAGAAAGAAAAAAACAAAATAAGAAGAAACGTTCGCGTACAAATGCCAAGTCTGGCAATTTCAGTTCGACCATTTTTGGTTCCTGCAATCTACCTACCGTCCAATTCAACGAGAGAGAGAGAAACACCATCCCATCCATTAAATATATCTTTTTTCTCTTTCTGATAATGCATGTTTTGCAGTACGCGTTGACTTTAATGGCAAAACGTGTACCGTGGTGTGCGATATGTTTTTTTATTTCTCCTACAAAACCAATCGTCGTTCTACCAATCGAAATTCAATTCAATCTCCACTTAAATAACAACAACAAAATTCATTGAAATTATTATACCAAAAAAGGGACAAGTAATCTTTTATTAACTAATCTTTTTTTAATCTAAATTCTCACTTTCACATTCGTAATATAATTCTCATCATAACGATCTAACAATAATTATAAAAACATTATTTTACTCACGTATATATATATATATATATATACATATACATATAATTATATTAAATAGAAAAAAAAAAAAGATATTATGTTTAATAAATTATAATATAACAAAAATGAGGGAAATGTTAATATACCTCGATGATGTGTGCACGTTATGTGGCATTTATTAAACAACGTAAAAAAAAAAAAATAGAAAAAAAAAAGGGTCAGATCTATACACTCATACACACACACAGACGCACACACATATAATATACACGTAATATAAACGTGTGTTAGAAGTGTTCGTGTAAAGTTGGAAAAGGATTTGGTCACGCGATGGTCAGCCTTTCGACCTACCAACGAGCTCGGTGATAGGAATGAGAAAGAAAAAGATAGGAAATAGAGAGAATGAGAGACAGAAAAAGAGAGAAAGAGAGAGAGAGTCTTGATCGAGCTCGAGACTATTGAACGAAAAACCCTCTTCTACAAACTAGAATCGCATATCACGCTCTCGCACTTAAGTAGTCGCAGCTGCAACGAGTTTAGAAAGCTGAGCAACCCGAGTGAGTACTACTCGATTCTCTCGTCAAGTGCCAAGTGATTTCAAATATACTTTTCTTTTCCTTCCGATTTGCTTTTACTTCCTTTTTTCTCTTTTTTTTTTTTTTTTTTATATTTCTTCTACCTTTCTTTCCCGTCCCTTTTCTATTTTCTTTTCTTTTCTTTTCTTTTTCTTTTTCTTTCTCTCTCTCTTTCTCAAATATCTCTTGGTACCTTTTTCATTTTTTATCCTCCCACACGTTTTTAATATCGAATCGATTATACAATCATTTTCGTCCAATTCAATTTCTATGATAAAAATGAAATATAATACCTAGATGTATGTATAAATGACATAGACAATTTCTTGAGTTATTTAGTTAGTTTGTTTGTTTGTCTTTTTTTTTTTAATTGTTTAATCGATAAAAATAGAAAGATTCACGAATGCAAAATTTCTTATGGACATTTTTTTTTTATAGATATTTTTGCAAATATATTTTTCCTTGTTTTTATTTTATGATTTTTATTCGCGATTTTTTTTTCTTCTAAATCTTTACTTTCCTTCCTTAAATAAAAACAAGGGAGTGATGAATTCTGCTATAAAGGAAAATAGAAGATCTTATCGATCTTAAAAGATCGATCTTGTGCCCCCCCCCTCCTACTCCTCCCCTCCCACGCCTTCCACCCACTATTAGATACGCTTGTTATCATCGAGAGTTCTTCTTTTAGATTTTTTTTTATTTTTATTTTAAGGATTTGGGTGAAAATTGTCCTCTTACTTTGAAAGAAAGGAACTTCCATTTCATTCTTTCTTTCTTTCTTTCTTTCTTTGTACTTGTCGTACGGATACCGATCTTTTTTCCACTCGAAAAATACGAGAAATTCGTTTTCCCGTTCCCATTTTCGTTTTCGTTTCTTTTAACGTTCGCCATACACTCGGATTTCATCCGATAAACTAAAGAAAATCTAAGGGTATTTTCTTACCCACAAGTTCATTAAATTCGTTCGTTACTTTTTTTTTTTTTTTTTCGAAATTCTCCTCTTAATCTTTCCTTTCTATTTTCTTTTTCTCTTTTCTTTTTTTTTTATATTAATTGTTTTAATAAATAATATAAACAGAAACAAAACTGAACGAAATAAAACTCGCGTTAACTTTCGTAATTTTGTTAAGTAATTAAATATTA